CAGACCCCCCCCCCCATTAGTTCCATTTTATCTCAATGGCTGGTATATCTCCTTATGTTTCTGTAGTCTCAAGAAATATGAATGAGGTATTTTTAAATATGCCTGTTTGATCAAGGAGTTTTTAAAGCCCAGATACTAGGTCCTTGTATGAGAATAGATGATCTGGGAGAGTAGGTAGAGTGTGGCCTGAAACTTAAAAACACTGAGAATCTGTTCTTATTTCTGCCATTGGGGGCTGTGTGATCTTGGGTTCATCTCAGAATCTTCATGGGCCTGTCACAAATGAAGGATTTGAATGAGGCGTTCTTTAAAGTCTCTTACTGTGATATCTTATTTACTCCACATTTGTGAATTGAGTGCTTTGATTTCTCGTGTATTGTTTACATGAAACTATTTGAAATGCCTTCACCAGATGACCAGCCAGCCTGAGAAATGCAACCAAATCTGTAAGGTAGAAAAAACCTAGGTCTGCAAAGACACAAGCCCATGGCCTTGGCAATGTTAGAATCTTAGCCTCCAATTCACTGAACTGTGGATCTAGGAGTGTTTACTTGCATGTCAAGCGAATACAACAAGCTCCAGAGGCATCATTATTCTTATCAGTAATGGGCGATTGTTGGTATTTTTCTACTTTGTAGAAGTCTAGAAATCTGAAAAGATAAATAACTGTATAAGGTCTTCAGAGTTTCTACTTGTCTATATAATGTTTCTTTTTCAGGGAGGCTAGGGAAATTAAGGAATCGTTTGCTTACTCTCTGCCTCTCAGAGATACTTTGAATTTCTCAAAAGGATGATAAAATGAGACAATAACCTATTTGTGACCCACTTCTGCCTTTGCAATTCTGTGACCTGCATTTCCATTATTATTAAATAGAGCTCTTTTTTTGGCTGACAAGTATATTTTAGCACAGGAAACTTAAAAAAATTATTTAGGACAAATACTTCTTTGAGAGATAGTTAGATGATATATTAGAGAACTAACTTGTTCTCTCTAGAATCCAGACAGTAGAATGGCTGAAATTGTCAAAGGACCAAATGTAGAAATTTAAGTTGTTGGCTATAGGAAATGTAAGTTAAAATATTATTATAACACTGGTGTCTAACTTTAACTTTATTACTATTTTGAGAAGTGTTTTGTAAAAACGTTAATTTTCCCCTTTCTCTTTTCTTTAGTCGGGGACTCCTGCCCTGTAGGTCCTTCTGTGAGTCTGCAAAAGAAGGCTGTGAAGCAGTCCTGGGGATAGTGAATTACACCTGGCCCGATTTCCTCAAATGCTCCCAGTTTAGAAACCAAACTGAAAACAGCAACATCAGCAGGGTTTGCTTCTCACCACAGCAGGAAAATGGAAAGCAAAGTAGGTATTTTTGGGTTTTGTTTCATTTTTTTAAAAAGCCTTTATTTGAATGTATCACTTATAAAGAAATATGTATAATTAGTAAGTATAAAGTATAATAAAATTTTAAAAGTGACTAGGCCCAAATAACCAACACTGGGTCAAGAAATAAAATATTATTAGTAGCATCCCAGAAGTGCCCCACCTGTCATATCTCCCTTTCCTGAAACACTCTTCTGTTCTGACTTCTAATGAGTCCATATTATCAATTCCTGTGGGATTGATTTTTTGTGTCTTAAGAAATATTTGCTTATGCCAAAACATAGAAGTTTTTCTTCTGTGTTCCTTCTAGGAGATTTACTGTTTTATGTTCAGTTTTACATGTACCATAATTATGGAATTATTTTTCATATATGGTAAAAAGTGAAAAATAGGGATTTAATTTTTTTTCTATGGGCATATACGGTTGGCCCACCACTCTCTATTTATTCAGGGGACAATTCTTTCCCTCTGCACTGTAATCAAGTCATTCCCTCTGCACTGTAATCAAGTCATTAACTATGTGTACATCTATTTCTGGATCTTCCATTTCACAGACTAGATTTAAGCCAATACCATACTGTTTGGATTATTATAACTTTATAGAAAGTTTTTACATTATATATCATACATCCTCTAACTTTTCTTTTGTTATTCAAGACTGACTATTTGGGGCTCTTTGCATTTAATCTATATTTTAAATCACTTTGTAATTTCTACAAATGCTATTTTCTTTTAAATTGAGACTGCATTAAATCTATAAATCAAATAGAGGAGAACTGTTTAACAACAAATCTCCCAATACATATAAAATGGTAAACTATAGTAATATTTAATTAGATATTTAAAATGAGGTATTTAAAAATTACTCTCAATAATCTGTTGTGGTGTTAAACAGTGTGGGTTTAAATAAGATAGTTCTTGCGTGTATTTTTTTCTTTTAGATTGATTTGTGAGTCTCTGGTATTTTAAATGTTATTGTAAATGATATTGTTTTTAAAAATTTATTTCATTTTCTATTTCTTTGTGTCTAAGAACTTTGATTAATCCCTTAATAATTTTCATAGTTTGTCTACAGATTCATTTGAGTTTTCTGATATACAGTCATGTCATGTATAATAATGACAGTTTATTTCCTCCTTTACAATCATTCTGCCTTCTGTTTCTGCTATGTCAGAGAGAAAGTCTTCAATATTTCACCTTTAAATATGATATCTGCTGATGGGCTTTTCTAGATACTTTTTGTCAGATTTTGCCTATTTGTAGTTTGCTAAGATGTTCTTTGAAAAATCATGGGGGCAAAGCAAGATGGCAGACCAGAAGGATTGTTCAATTGAGCTCTCCTAGAATGACTGGAGAAAAAGAGGGAATCCAGCTATTCTTGATGCTGGGACCTTACCCAGAGTCATAGCTCAGAGAGTACAGTGAGGAGGTGGTAAGCTAGACACAGCATATGATCCAGAGCTGTGGAAATCTGATGAATTAGGTCAGTGATTATGACTGGCTGGGATCTACTGGCTGCCCATATGTCCTCCTGTGAATTGGGACAGGAGGACAGGAGGAAGGCTTTCTGGAGTTTTCAGTTGTTTGGAGAAGCTGTGTGCTCAGTAGAAACTTGGAAGAGTGGGCAGATTTGAACAACATACAGCAACCAGATTTGAATGCCAGATGGAGTGGATTTGCCATAGGTTTGGTGGCTGGTGAGGCAACTATACTGAGAAGGTCTCAGCAGTCAGAGGCTGCCATTGTGGGAAGGTCATGAGAAGGTCCTAGCAGGGGTCTAAAGCATGGTCATCTTAATTCCACCGGGTGGGATAAGAATTCCACTCTTGGGACAGGCTGAGGTATTCCCACACCCCATGGGAACTAGAGTCAGGGACCACTGTCAGACCTACCCCTGAAGGATTATTATGAGCTTTAAGATCCCAACCTGGAAGGTTCTGAATGCTAAGGAAATAATCAGGTGATCACTGAAAGCAACTAAGTTTGGAATAAGGACCATAGAGGTTGCTGGCTGTGCTCTCTGTCTCCTAAAAAAACTATAGCACCACTAGGTGTCCTAGCAACATATTGCAACATACTGTCATCAAGAGCAAGGACTTCTGTTTGAAACAAAGAAGGCAGTGAGAAGGAAAAAAGAGGACAAGGAGATGAACAAGAAGAAAGAACACATAAGGAGGAACCAACAGAAAAACTCAGGCAACATGATAAACCAAAACAGTGGAACTCCACCAATGGACTATGAGGCAGATACTGCAGAAGACTCCACCTATAAAGAATTAATGGACTCGATAGAAGGGGAATTTAAAATATGGATGATAAAGACAATAAAAGGAATGGATGAGAAAATAGAAAGACAGAACCAAAAGTTGGACAAGAGATATGTAGAATGTAGAAAGGATATGGTGGAGCTTAAGAAAATGGAAGAGACAATCAGGAAATGTAAAGATGCAATAGACAGTACCAAAAATAGGTTAAACCATGGAGAAGAAAGAACCTCAGAGCCACAGGATAAAGTTTTTGAGTTAACCTAGGTAGTTAAAGAGGCAGAAAAGAAGAGAGAGAAAGCAGAATAGGCGCTTAGAGAAATATGAGACTTCCTGAAGCATTCAAACATATGCATAATAGGGATTCCTGAAGGGCAAGAATATTGTCCCAAAGGAATGGAAGCCCTACTGGACACTATTGTAAATGAAAACTTCCTAAGTTTTACTAAAGATGACATACTCTTTTCAGATGGAGTCATCTCAACTCAAACAGAGCCTCTCCAAGACATATAATGAACCTGTCCAAAGTCAAGATGAAAGAAAAAAATTCTGCAAGCAGCCAGGGGTAAGCATCAACTGACCTACAGGGGCAGAGCCATTAGGATGACAACAGACTTCAACTGAAACCTTCCAAACTAGAGGAGCATGGTCATCTACCTTCAACATTCTTAAAACAAATTTTTTCAGCCCAGAATTCTGTATCTTGCTAAACTACGCTTCAAAATGGATGGAGAAATCAAATCTTTCATGGATATATAAGCATTGAAGAAATTCACCACAATAAGACCAGCTCTATGGGAAATACTTAGACCTATTCTCAACACTGACTACCACAATGGACCACCAGCAAAGTAAACACCTAGAAGCTAAAGGTCAAAATTTAGCATCCACAGTGGCATAAAGGATAAAACTACACAATAGACTTTCACGAAATAAGATGAATAGAACTCCACTACACTTACCAATTCTCTCAATAAATGTCAATGGACTGAATTTACCACTGAAGAG